CAACGAATAGTCACATTATAACGCGCCCACGGTTGCTAGGGCAAGCATGTTTGGTGGGATGGGGATTCGAACCCGCAATCCTCAAATTGCGAGTTGAGCGCCCTAACCACCTGGCCATGTCAGGCCGTCAGAAGAGAAAATATCCGCATTGATATAGATTTTGTACCATCTGTGCAAGTATGAAATGCTAACTTGTTCAGGGAAGACTAAAGCAACGAGCATTGTCAGTTCATTTCTTTGGTTGGATGTACGTATATTTAGAATCCAGTTTCACAACCTTGGCTAGGGCAGAATATTGTTTTGTTAATTAATCTGAAGTGTCGGAAAGAACCATTTTTATCGGGATACAACTTCAATTGATTTCTATTTTAGGTCTGAGTGCCGAAGTATTTTAATTCACTCAGTGAGTCTTTGATAGATGCTGTGTCCATTACTTTGTGAATGACGATAAGAAAAAGTGAGAAAGAAACAAAGATCTACCATCTGAAGTAAGGCCTGAAATAACTCCCATCTAGATGCTTTGTTAAGTTGTGTTCTCCACTGCCATTATCAAGTGCCTGTTTGGATGAATTTTAAAATATAATCTATCTTAAAGATTATATCTTTTTTTATCAAAAAGTGCCATACTAAACTTTGCACAAATCGAAACATTTAAATGTATTTAATAATTTACAGGTTACCATTTTGGTAACCCGTTTTTCGCCATATTATTTATAACAGGTGGTCAACAAATGCCCAGAATTATTTTAAAAGCTGCGAATTCAGCGAAAATTGAAAAATACTTAGTGTCATCAGATAATCATGTGTTCCAGACAGAAGAATAAATGTCAAGTCTTCAAAATTGGAATCAAGAGTTCCATAACAGGACCGAATTTCAAGATTTTGGAAGCTATATAAATAAAACAGGAATAAATTATTAACTAATATGTCTAACTGTAAGACTCTTGTGACGCTATAAGAGTAAAAGATCATTTTCAATACTTCAAGTATAGAACTGTAACATAACCAAACCAGGGTGAGAATATATATTTCGTCCCGGATTTGAGAAAGTGCTGAAACTTTACCGCTCAGATTATTAGTAGTTTAAAACTTTATATAAAGTATTTATAATTATAACATCATCATAGCAAAACATAATGGAATAACTGAGTAAGAATTTATTTAGAAAACTTGAAGGCAATTCAGGTTGAAATGGGGTATTGTAGTAAACAGAGAAATCACACCCCATTTTCTTCACGTAAAATGAGACTATTTCACGAAAGGGTTAGCAACTGTTAATAATGATATGTTAATTTATCATTTGAAGATTAGTCATTATTATCAATTAAGATTTTAAAGCTAAAACTATAATATATCTTAGTATGTAAAATTTAAATTATGAATATGAACTTTAATGCTATACAAAACTCTATCCATACATATAATTTCCCATTTTTATACTGATATGTAATTATCGTGGTGTATTGATTCGGTAAGAAGTAGTTTAGGTTTTGTAATATCATGAAGCTGACTAATACTTAGCTGTTCTTAGGAAACCATAAATAGTAGTTATAGCTTGCACTGCTTACCTTGTCGAGGAGCTAATAATATATATATAATTACTGGACGATATGTGAACGAAGCTTTAAGTAGCTGTTAATTAGGAAACTTTTTTATTGTATTTCGAGTAATTGAGATAGTTTTGTTTTGAAATTCAGAGCTAGGAGCTTAGAGGAATTATAAAAGTTACTTCGGTTTTAGAACAAAAAGTTGTATTGATAAGATAATCAATCTTCTGAAACTGGCTGGTAGCAATTGACCATGGCAAAATAAAATACAAAGCATCGCCCTGCCGATGAGTGTTATGGCAAGTATATGCTGCGTCTCCTAGTAATAAATTTAATTTGGTGATTGAACTTACGACTTCTGTGACCCTCTTTAAATCTTTTTGTGAATCTCTTTAAACATTATGTGTGCATAACGTGCAGGTCGAGTCACCAATGAAATTGGCAACTGAATAAATTGCCAAACAAAACTGTACATGTGCTATATGCACTAAGTCTACTGCAGGGATCGAAACCAGAATTTAAGTATTTACCTCCAAGTTTACCACTGAGTCACCGGAGGGGAAAAAGTGCCCAATAAAACAACAAATAAATCTTTTCGGTAGGGCTTAGAGTGGATTAGTGAGTACATATCAGGCTGTGGATATGATAGTCCGTGGTTCGAGTCCCCGCCTAAAGGAATCTCGTTCCGCACTTTGGGCCCGTGAGTGCATTATAAAAATGGCGTTCTAATCCCAGTATTTGATTAGTGTAACTCAAGAGGTAGAGGTGGGTGCTGTTGACTAGTCTCTAATATATTATTTCAAAACTAGGGACAGTTAGCATAGATTGCACTTGCGTAGTTTTGCGCGATTATATCTGGAATAGTTAATCAAATCAATCGCTTCGCGTAATATCGTGTCTATAAAACCATTGATACAGTATGGCTAATATCTTATCATTATGGGATGACTTGGTTATTAAATTCTACTTTATATTCAATGTTTAATAATGGAGACTTAGGCAATATTCCTGATCTTGAACAGTTGCTAGATGGATGAGCAAGATGACAACATTAAGTATGAGCTTGTTAAGAAAACATTGGGGAGTTTAAAGAATGATAAAGCTCCTTAAACAGTTAATATTTACTCAAGGGTTTTGAAAGAAGTTAAGAATTGGATATGTGAACCACTTGCTACTATTTCTTCTAAGTTCTTGAAAAGTGGGTAGGGACCAGAAGATTAGAAGTTTGCTAATGTTACTCTCACTCTTTTCAAGGGAGTTGATAAAAACTGTCCCACTAATTATTGATATATTAGTCTTATATCAGTGGTGGGAAAATTTTTGAAATTCTGATTAAAGATGCTTTGCAAAGCCACTTAACAAAGTCTAAATTTTTATTAGATAGTCAAAATGGTTTCACTAGGGGAAATCTTGCCTGTCTAGCCTTTTGATACTCTTTGAAAAGATTACTGCTTATGAAGATAACGATATGGGTGTGGCTTTGGTGGATCTGGATATTCAGAAAGCATCTGCCAAGGTGCGATATAAAAGTCTTGTTAAAAAGTTATCTCTTTGGGTGTGGAGGTTAGATCGACTAATTAGAAAGAAAACTGGCTAGATGGAAGAAAGTATAGGGTTGTTATAAATGGAGTTCAGTCAAACTGGAATAACGTCACGAATGGGGTATCTCAGGGCTCAGCGTTAGGATTTTTGTTCCTTTTTATTTACATCAATGACATAGATGAAGGAATGTATAATAATTTATGTAAATTTGCTGGTGATATCGTAAAGAGGACGCTGCTGCTTTGAAAAATGATTTGGATTATTTGGTAAGATGGGCAAATAAATGGCAGATGGTCTTTGATTATAATAAATGCTAGGTAGTGCATGTAGGATATCACAATTTGAATTATGAGTATAATTTTGACAGGAGTAATCTTAACAATGTTACGAAAGTAAAGGATTTTGGTGTTATGATTGATCAGTCTTTTAAGCCATCCAAGCAATGTGCTGTTGCTAGTGTCAGGGAAAATAGGATTTTAGGTTATATCTACAGAAATATTCAATACAAGTCTAACTGTTCTAGTTTTATTGTATATATGATTGGTTAGGCCTCATTTGAGTATTGTGTTCAGTTTTGGGCTCCTTACCTTAGAAAGTACATTGGATTGTCGGAAAGAGTTCAGAGGAGGGCTATCAGGACGATACCTCAGATGGAAAGTTTGTGATATTAAAATATGTTAGGATCTCTGAAATTGTTTTCTCTTGAAAAAAAAAGAGGGTTTAGAGCGATTTGATTAAAGTGTTCAAGATTGATAAGGGAATTAATAATGTTGATGCATTATCTCTTTTTCGCATTTATTGGTAGTATGGTAAGACTAGGAGACACAAATATACATTTTGGCAGGGTAGAAGTTATTTTTAGCTAAGCTTCATTTTTTAATAGGGTAGTTGACATTGGAAATGGGTTGCCTTCAGATGTGGTGGAAGCAGTTAATTTAAGGGAAGACTTGATAAATATTTGAATTATAAGGGTTAGCTTTGAGATTTTATATACTTATTTTAGAGTAGATGAGACGGCCTAAATGGACCAGCAGATCCCCTGTTGTCCTTAAGTTAAATTATATGTATATGTATTGAGAATTTGCAAATGTTTACTCATGTTGATTTCACATTACAAATACTCGAAATTGTTTATGCCTCATAATGTTAATTTGCTTTGTGTAACACAGGCAACAACCATTGTACGTGCTGTTGCTATGTATAACACAATTTACCATTTGTCATCAAGTTTTTCTTATATAAAGGCCCGCCGATAGGGGCAAAGGGACTAACTGCCCAGGGGCCCGGGCGAATGAAATCTGTTGTTACTCTATTAACGTTTTTACGCTTATACTGTGAGCTAAAAGCGCCTGTTGTTATCATTTTGCCTTGTTTATGAGCTCGTTTCTGTTCTAATTTAGGATATTCTTTTTCATAAGTTCTTTAAAATGTAGAAAAAAAAGGGGGTCCAGCGAGGATGTTTGCCCCGGGGCCCATTCTGGCTCTCGACACTCCTGCTTATGATGATTTATTGTACAATATTTCAAAAACACTATTATTTGGTTATAACATCTATCGACAAATGCGCTTTTGTGTAGTTTTTAATTATCTTTTTTTCCGATTATGTAAGCCATAATTTTGTGTCTAACTTAGAACTGGAACACGAAAAAGCCAAAGGCATTAACCCAAAATGTCATCGGAAAAAGAAAAAAAAACGGAGTGCTGTGTTAGGAAAATTTTTATATTATTCCATTTCGTGATTTGTTTTATATATTCGAAAACTACACATTTTAATTTTCACATCATAATTTTTTGTGCTTCTCGCGTAAACAAAGACTCGGTTGAGTAGTTGTTTCAAAACTTGTTTTGTATTGTTATAAGAACTATATAATTTACTTGTTTGTAAACAGTAGAAAACACGCTACCAACTGCATTCAAGGACATGACGTCATATAGCAGATATAGTAGTGTGTGTTATGATTGTAGTGACAAAACAATGTAACTGGATGGATATAAAGTAATTCAGGGAGATCTAAAAGTTGAAGTATCTTTTCAATCTTCTCTAACATGGATTCATTGAGAGAACAAGTTATGATAAATCAATTTGTTCTGGCCGCTGGATGTGCAAGAAAACAAGCAAAGCAGTTACTTCAAGCGGCACATTGGCAATTTGAAGTAAGTTGACATTTCCCAAACTGATCGTCTTTAAATTTTACGAACCAAATATGGCAGTATGCATTATTTATGCCGTTGCAGAAACCAATCTAACGTTAGGTTAAATTTTAAAGAATGAAATGCATAAGTTATAACTTGTTATTTTACTGAAACAATGAAAGTGAAAAAGTGCATTATTCGTACAATACATCGTTATTAACGGCGTTTATCACATTATCATTATGTCATCAGTATATAAATTATAATGACACTGACAGTATAACTATAGTATAAGGTTAAACTTGCAGCTTTCGTAAAAACTTAAGTTAAATCCGATTTAAGTTTTAAGGCACTGTAAAATCTTCTGCACAGAAACAAGGTGTGTCATATACTGAATATACTTAAATCAGATTTAGTTTATAACTATATTGAGAAAGCTGCGAGTTTTAACCTTGAAAATGAACAAAGCTACAACTACTAAATAACAGCCTCTATATGAATTTGGAAGAGTAATATTAATTTCAGAGAAAATATTTCTTTGTCCAGTACAGTGTAAAATATTTCATCAAAAAAAATTAAATGTGTAAAAAGCAGATATAAAAAAAACAGGTTTAGAACAAAAACAAATTGTTAATATGAATTTGGGAAAGTAATATATATTTCAGAGATATTCTGTTGTCCAATATCATGTTTTATATTTCAGTCTAAACACTTTTCAGCAAAGAAATTGGGTGCATTTCTTTTTGACAGACAAAAAGAATTAAATGTGTAAAAATGTTTTAAACTAGTATTTCGAGGCTTTTGAGGTTCAACTTCAGAAACACTGGAACATAATAGATTATATGTTAATCTATAAATGTATGGCAGGCTCTCTGTGAACTTGCAAGTCAAATACATCTTTGGAATTTCCTGAATTGTCACAAAAACTTCTGTTTTGGTTCATTTCAGGATAACAAAGATGAAACACAGCTACAGGCAATATCATTTAGATACTGTTCCAGAAATATTGGTTAAGGACCTTTTCTACTTTTTCTTTCTATATATTTGGTGATGGCACAGGCTTTAAAGGTCTGGAGCATTGTTTGTGGATGGACAGGAGTTTGTCTCAATTGTATAACAAGCAGATATTAATTTTGCAACTTTAACATTATGCTCACTCCATCTTCATGATTGCATATGATAGTGAGAATAAACAAAATGAACATATGTGTGATATATTTTTGGTTAAACATTTCAGTTCACTTTGACTATTCTAACCTATGAAGGATGGGTGGCTTGCTATAAAAATCATTAGTCTTTGAGTTCAACAAAATGATTTTGTTCCTTTTTCTTATGTTTTTACTGGGTTGGTCCAGGAGAGTACCAGGATATCATGCCTGCTTGTGAGACACAAGTCTAGCTGTTGACAACCTTTAACAGAAATGATGGGGACAGATTAGACATTAAAAAGTTTGGGAGTAAATTAACTTCCAGTGGAAACATTGTTTTACCAGATTAACTGATGGCTAGTTTCTTTTGTTGTAGATCTCTTCCAGCCCATCCTATGAGGTACATACATGTAAGAACTTCCTAATTAATGTTTATGAACTTGTTGGGTTTGACTTTGTGTATGGTTACTAGAGGTTTTCCTCAAGTGTCAAGGTTTTCTGATGTGTGTCTCTAGAGCTGTGAATGTTGGCTGGGGTTTTAGGTTTTTGATGAACTATCAAGAGGTATAAAGTTGTATTTATAACATACTTTTGACTTCTGGTATATCAGAGATATATGTGCTTCCTTTAGGTGGACATAGTGCTCAAATTAAGGGGGAAAAGAGGAGTATGACATTTCCAATGTTAAAATAAATATTAGTTTCATCCTCCTTGTTAATAAAATCGTGTTCCTAAAGAAATGTTTTGAAACTGAGACTTCACTGACTGATTTAACTGCAATGGAGGCACAAGTATACAGCTACTCTTGTACCAATTCTCTATGTACCAGATTTAATCTCCATCAACCACTGGTAAAATTGGTTTTTAGTTTGCTTCTTTGATGTTTGTTCTTTGCGGAGTTATTATTAAATCTTAATTTTGATCTAATTAGTGACTGATCAATGAGGAAATTACATTCACGGTACATATATATACGAAAGTATTAGTATAAACTGTACACTTCTTTTGTTATGGAGTTTGTGGTTGTACATTGTAACTCAAGGGCCAAGATACACACGTCTTCTGTGGGTTCAAGGGGGTCTCTTGGAGTGGCAAGGTGTGTCTTAAGAATCATGTATGATGTAATATGAAGTGAACTATTTAGTCAAGGTATTATACTGGGAAGACATGATGTACTGTTTTGTTACATGTGCACATGAGTAATTGTTTTTAAGATTAAAAAATGACTGTACTAACAAAATCTTTCACTTGATTTAATGCATGCACACTAGTTATTAACTTTTTTTGGAATTACTTTACCCATCCATACTAATTACTTTTCACACATGTGCACTTCCATTTTCTCAATATCTTTTGTTTGTCAGGGAAATTCCTGTACCAAGGCTGATATTGCACATTTGATTACATGCTACTTTTCTTCACAAATCTAATTTTACATTAATTGTGTCAAAAATAATGTTTTAAGTATTACATATTCTGGATGATTTAGATATGTAACATAATAGTTAATTGTGTGACTTTATACATCATATTTAATTTTTTCTTAGATCATTAACATAGATTTTTTTTTCTTAGACTGCACTGAGTATTTTTTTCCAAGAAGCTGCAGTACCAAACTATTCCCAGCAGAATGGGCATTTTAATGCAGTAAGTATTTAAATTTTTTTGTTTGTGATGTTTTAAGTATTTAGATATAATTGTATATGTATGGGATTAGTAAATTGTTTATTTAATGAACATTCATTAAATTCCAGAACAGTTAGCTTTTTCAAGATTTTTAATAGTTTAATTCATGTCAAACATCCCAAGTTGTGTGTGGTGTCTCATTTCTCAATAAGTGTTTCTAGTATTTTGTTTTTTCTTAAAGAGTTTCTTTGTATCTTCATATATTTAATTGGTTGTACAGGTATTAATTAACATTACTTTTAAACTCGAGGAAAAATAATGCTGAACTTAATATTATAAAATTCCAAGTTAAAGAACAAAAATAAACTGAATGTCAAACTTGTAAGTTTCACCAAATTGAAACAAAGAGTCTTAAAGTTTGAACTAAGCAAGTTAATACGTTAAACGTATAAGTCTCTAAGTTCCCTTAATTCTTTCTATGATCTTCTAAACATCTACTCTCATACAGGGGCAAACTTGGCTTTTCATATTAAGACAAAATACACAGCCAAATTTGCACAGGAAATGCACTTCACATTTAGCATCTGTGTCCACTGAGACTTGAGGTCTGTGGTGCAGCTTCCCTTTATTTGATTCACTAGCGAGAAAGAAAGCTTTCTATTTATGGATGCCATTTTCTATCTTCCTTACAAAAAATTTGGTTAATTGCCAAATAGCAAACCCACTATGCATGTCACAAGATTTTACTTTGTTACATTCCAAATTCAATTAAGCGATCTTAGTAGCAATGTGTGCCATTGAAATTAGCATTAAAGTTTACATTATAGTTCAAAGTTTTATATTATCTAAGATTTAATTCCTTTATTTCAAAAGAAACCTTAAAGAAAAATTATTAAACTTGACATACGCTGACCTACCATGTATAAATAGAATCTAGGTTAATTGTTCTGTTTACACATTTTTCTTTTAAGCTTCTTAGAGTACATTTCTTGGAATTCTTGACAGATGCCTCGCCCACTTTCAACACATAGAGTTGTGATTTCTCAGCCAATTATACTTAGTTGAGCTAGATGTTTATGATCAATACAAAGACCACGTTTTAAAATACAATCTCCTAATAGTTACTTTGAAATTGGCACAAAGAATTTACTTTGAAATTGACACGAAGAATTCCAAACTTGTCAATCTGCTCTTAGCATTGTTGCTGCTTTTGTCCTTGCTAGCACTAGCATTATTTTTCATCTATAAGTATGTAAGTTTGATAGATAATTAAATTGTATTTAAGTTTTACTTTTATATTTCAGTTAATTATGTATTTTATTTATGTTTTAAAATGCATATTATAAAGGTTTAATAATTTTCTACAATGTAAGCCAAACTGCCTCAGTTCATCAGGCGATTGTCCCAACATTCTGATGAAGGCTAAAATGTCTCTGCCTATGATACCCTAATATTGCCCATTGATGTGTGTTGCAATAAGTAATAATGCTAAAGGACAGAAAAGGAAAATAGAACATCAAAAATAAACTATATATGAAACAAAGTAAAAATTTGCAATTAAGAATATAATCGAAATAATATTTTTTAAGATTATTCAACAAAAAATTAAAAGGTATACACGTACATTTTTTCTATTTTTAATTTTAAGCATTTCAATGCACAATATATGATGATAATACTTGAAATATTCAGAGTCTGAGTGCAAATAACTACAGTACAAAAATAACAAATCTTTAGTGAAAACATTTAACTAAAACAAACTCATTCTTTTTGTAGAAAATACTTGTAATCTTTAACAAAATCTTACCAATTGTTGTGAAGATATGTTAAGAATGCTCAGAGTTATTGTAAGTATTGTTGAACTGTGTATCATTCTCCATATGAGGAGTAGCCCGTAACCATAAGGTTAATCTAAAGAAGATAATCATAAGCAACAGCCATCACTTTGTCTACTTATTTATCTAACGGCCACTAGACCATGCCCTCACATTTGCTGGTTGTGTAAAAGCAGAATTAATGCATAATGTCACTCCTAGGGAAGTAGTAATAGCTTGTATGTTGTGTGTAAGTTTAGTTGATATGTATCTGAACCTGTACAAGTTTATATGAGTTATGGCAAATTACTAAGGCTATCTGCTACATCCTTAATTTTGAACTGCTTGCTAGAAGAACTCTTGGGCTACTGTCTTTACCAACAAATAAGTTCGAACATCACATTATAATAATCTCCAGGGTAGCACTGTTTGGTACTTAGCATAGTTGCCATGAGAATTAAGTATTGCAGATATTAGGGGTGCATATCTCATCATAGTAGTCAATATGATACATATCTAAATATAGAAGTTTTACCAACAGTTCCTTACAAAGTTTGACAGTCTTTTCTATAATTTATTATCCAATTACTAATATTGTGTTATTTAAGTACTTCACACTTTACGTTGTTTTTTCAAATTCTCAGGTTTGATCAACTAAATGGCAGCTGACAAGAGAAGTAAAATAAAAAAAAAGTTAATATCTGTCTCTCTATTGTGTTATTGTTAATTTATGTTACTTTGCATGTAATGTTTTTGATAAAAGAAATGAAGACAACATGTAGTACTCAATACTCATCTTCCTTTATTGAATCATTAATTTTTAGCAAAAATTATTTCTTAGAAGTTATGATATTTTCTGTACAAAAGACCTGTAATGTTTACTAAAAGCTTGCCAAGTTTCATGAAGATACATAAATTGTATGATATCAGACGATGTATTGATACAATTGTATCATGGATTCACAATACGGTTTGAGTATCATATCACTATGATACCTGGTGCCACAAAACATGTTTGCCCTTTCCATCATAAGGGCATTATAATGTCATGTTCAATCCTCTTATTCGCTGATAAAAGATTAATTCAAGAGTTGGTAATGGGTGTTGCTGGCCAGCAGCTCAAAATTATGGAACTTGGCTAGTTGTCTTAGTGGCTATTGTCCTTCCTTTCTCTATGCCTTCTAAGATTTCTTCTAATTATAATCCAATTGCTTTGACTAGCTGTCTCTATAAGGTTTTAGAGAGGATGGTTAATGCTTGTCTTGTTTGGTTCCTTAAATCAACCAACCTCCTCATGCCCACCCAGTGTGGGTTCCGTCGACAGCACTACACCGTGGACTACCTGATTCGATTTGAAACCTCGATCAGGGAAGCCTTTCTGAAGATGGAACATTTGGTTTGTTTTCTTCGATCTTGAGAAGGCTTACTACGCTACGTGGAGGTACGGCATTTTGCGGGACCTCCACTCATATGGGTTGTGGGGCAATCTACCCACTTTTTTGCTGAACTTTTTACTCAACAGGTGATTCCGAGTCTGTGTGGGTTTGACACTTTCCCATTCTTTCACACAGGAACTTGGAATCCCTCAGGGCTGTGTCACACTTTTCAGTGTCAAGATCAATGCTATCACTACAGAATTCGTACTACTGTTGCTAAAGGACTCTTATGTCTACGACTTCCAAATCTCATGTGTCAGTCATTGAACATGAGGTTTATTGAGCAGCAGCTTCAGACTGCCCTCAATTGCTTGTTGAAGTGGACCACAGCAAACAGTTTTATCTTTTCTTTTTCCAAAACCGTTTGTATGCACTTTTGCCACCAATGGAGTCTACACCCCGATTGTTGTTGTTCTTCCCGTAGTCCCTGAAGCAAAGTTCTTGGGGCTTGTCTTTGACCATAAACTTACTTTCATTCCTCACATAAAGCAGCTATGAGTCAAGTGCACAAGGACTGAACATACTCCATGTCCTCTTTTCCACTTTGTGGAGAGCGGATCGATGTTCTATGCTCAAGATTTATTGAACTCTTATTCGATCCAAACTGGACTATGAGTCTCTGGTCTATGGTTCTGTCAGGACATCAACCTTGAAGATTCTGAACCCCATTCACCATCTTCAGCTCTGTACGGGAGCTTTCCTTACTTCTCCAGTCCGGTGTTTGTACACTGAGTCCCACGAACGTCCTCTTCATCTCTGCTGTTTGCAACTTTCTCTGCAGCATGCTACCAAGCTTCAATCCTTATCACAGCATCTCACTTGGGATTGTGTCTTTCTTCCTTGGTGGGCTGTGCTCTTTCAGAACAGATCGTCTGCAATTCCTCCAGTCCAGTCTGAGTCCCACGAACCTCCTCTTCCCCTCTGCTGTTTGCAACTTTCTCTGCAGTATGCTACCAAGCTTCACTCTTCACCACAGCATATCACCTGGGATTGTGTCTTTATTCCTTGGTGGGCTGCGCTATTTCAGAACAGACGGTCTGCAATTCCTACCTTTGGCCTTCATATCCAGGCACAACTGGCTGAATTGGGTCTGTCACTGGATGACGTTGCTGTCCCCAATGATCAGCCTATTTCACAATGGCTTATTGCCATCCCTGAATGTGACCTTCCCCTGAGTCAGCCGAGAAGGCGGATATTCCTGATTGGAAGTATCGTCTTCTCTTTGCTGAACATCTTTCGAACCATTCTTCTATTCTCGTTTATATGGATGGTTCGAAATCAGTTGACTCTGTGGGCTCTGCCATGGTTTATTGTGGCTCGGTGGTTACTCATAGGATCCCCTCTACAATTTCTGTGTTCACTGCTGAGTTGTATACCATTTATCTTGCTCTGGATCATGTAAAAGCTATGTATTACAGAGATTGTACTATTTACACTGACTCTCTTAGCTCTCTACTGGCCCTGGAATCACTTAATGTTAGTTCTCACTCTGTTCTCATCGATATTCAACAACAACTGGCCCATATTTCTCTATCTTCTGTTTCCATCCAGTTTCTCTGGATACCTGGCCACGTGGGTATTCGTGAGAACGAGTTCGCTGACACCGCAGCTAAGTCCGTCTGCTCTGGTGCCTTTACTGCTATGCCAGTCCCATATATGGACTACAGTCCTTTATTCAAGGAGTGGCTTTGCACCAGTTGGCATAACAAGCTTTTCCAGCTCAAACCTTCTCTTGCTCTTTGGCCATTTTGTTTCCGTAAGGATCGGAAGG